GGGGTGGGCCCAGGGGGGGGGGGGGTTCCTAAAAAATTAGTGGTTGGGGGTGGAGGTGGTGTTCTTGGGGGTTTTAACAAAAAAACACCACCCCTTGGGAGGTTCAGGGGCAGCGGTTTTTGGGGGGGGGGGGGGGGGGGGGAGGCACAAGACTACAGACGAAAAAGGAGAAAGGACCAAAACCACGGCAAGGTGAAAGCCATGCAGCACGCAGGATACACAGCCGCGGACTAAGCTTCTACATGCGACGCACCCGAAAGAGACGGATGTATGCAAGTATCAAAACCCTCTCCTCTCTATAGACAGAGCAACGGCACGTGTTAGATCTCTCTAGGAGCTCGGAACATGCACGTGGAACAGGGTACATGGATGTCGTGGCATGCTGACGGAACCGTGGCAGCACTCACGCCAACAAAAACAAGCAGAACATGAGAAGAGCAGGCTCGTTAATTGCGCGCATTGGAGTGCGTGTAAGGACCATACCTGAGCGCGATCTGCACGCATTCGTTGGTTCGATAGTCGATGAAGGCGTATCCGCGGGTAGGGTTCATGCTGATGCCCGTCACCTCGCCGTAAGCCGAGAAGTGAGCGATCATTTCGTCCCTGTCGATCGTCATGTCCACCTAAAAGCGCATCCCCCAATAACAATCAACCAGCCACACAATCATAGGGTTAGACTCATGAGATGTTGTTCAAAGCATGGATGCCCTTGCTATCGGACGTCCATGAGAGGTGATACGACGCCAATAATTGAAACGTGTCAGGGTCACTTGTGTGCGTCATCATCGCGAGACAAGGTAGACACAACAGACACACAAGTCGTCAGCTCGTACAAATCCTACAACTTAAAAGTGACGTGCTTTAGGTTGTCGCACAGACGGTCAAGAGAATATTAGCTAGCGTTGCTGCTGATTTAGTGCTACGCAACATCAAGCACGCCACCCAAGCCATCAAACGCACCGTGCTGCTTCACAACCTGGCCCACAGCGGTTTGAATCGCATCTTGTCGGGTGGCCGTACCCTACAACATCACTCACACGACGTTAACCTCCCTTCTTTTGCGTCACACCCCCTCCCTCCCTCTCTTCATCATTTACCTTGCGCACGAAGAGCGACGTGGCAGGCATGATCTCCCCGTTGCCGGCGGCAGCGGCCTCACGGGCAGCGGCGGCAGATGCGGCCACCGCGGGGGAGGCGTGGTGGGGGATGTACGCTCCAGGTCCCTTCTGGCCCTGGCAAACAGCATAGCAGGGTGCCCCAGAATACCATTTCATCATTCATCGGTAAACATCACAAGTCGTTGAGCAAAAAGCATGCATTCGATTAACGAGCAAACGCAGGTACAAGACCAAAGGTACGGGAAGGTGACCAGTCAGGATGCCTGGCTGGCTGCTGCAAGTGTGAGGTAGGGACGCGGCATTTGAGCAGTCAAGACGATGGCGTAAAGAGCGGAAATGAAACTTCAGGTAAATGCTCGTAGATCGGTTAAGTAGCTACTTTGGTCTTAACTAACTGCGATGCACCCCTGGGTGCACCACAAGTGCCAGACCACAAGTGCCAGCACATATACACGGCCCGCAGCACAGCAGACCCATCGGCGTGCACCAAAAACGAAAAACCACGCCCGGAGAACCATCAAACCGCTTGCCCAAATCCCTACCGCTCCCCTTCCCCGAGAGCGTGGCGCTCAGGTCAATCCACGTCAATAGTCCCGGTCCTGACGGTGCATTTGCCAAGCTCAACCACTTTCCTCTCTTCCCGCGGAAACGCCACGTTACGCGACAGCCAGTGCAGCGCAAGGTACTACACACAAGCGGGAGCAAATCGTACTCAATAGCTCGATAAACCGCATAGGCACAACATGCGACACAGCATCAGCAGCACAGGCACGGCACGACCAACTGACCTTGCCGGTCGCAGAGGACGGCCGAGAGCCGTGCTGCACAACGCCGGGCCCGGGCTGACCGACGGGCTGCTCGATCGTCAAAACCGCCCCGCCCGCTACCGCCCCCGCCGCCGCCGCCGCCGGATCCGGAGCACCCCACCCGCCGTTACTCGTGGCAATCCCGTTACCGTTGCCGCTGGGCGACGCGGCAGAAGCCGGGGCGCCCACCGCCGCAGCCGCCCCCACCCCGCTGCCGCTGTCCGCCGCCACCGTGGCCCAAGACTTGGCGAGAGACGCGTAGGTCATGGGGGCCGGGGGCGCAGCCGGTGCCGCGGGCGGCAGTGGAGAGGCAGGAGGGGCCGCCTCCGCCGCCGCCGTCTCGGTGGACTCCGCGGGGGTGCTGGCGCCGACCGGGGAGGGGGGCACCTTGACAGGTGCAGGTGGGGGGGGGAGGGGAGGGCGGGGTGCGGAAGGTCGACACTCAGGGTTCACATAAGGGCAGACATAGTAACGCCCCCCGTTCACGTACACGATGCAAGCGCGGAGTGGCGTTAACAGGCGCTACAAGTGCTACACACGCTGCCTAGGCAGGACACGAATGAGCCGGAGCCAGCGCAACACGTCCGAACCTCCACACAACGGGGAACGCACAGGCAACAAGCCATCGCTAACACACACATATTGAAGACTGCGGATCGCCGCACGGGAAAGAGGAGTACACTAGTACACCAACACAACCAACACCTCCATCTCCGAAACAGAGACCAACCAGCAAGCCACGAATATTCACCTTTGCCGCTGGAGTCTTATCAGCCGAGCCGTTGTCCAAGCCCGCCACCGCGGCAGGCGCGGTCACGGTCGCAGCGGCAGTCGCAGCGGTGGCGGCGCCGGCGTCAGCGTCAGCGTCAGTGGAAGCCGCAACCTGAGACTCGGACGGGGGAGCGGCGCCCGCCGCCATCGCAGGCGGGGAAGATTCGGGCACAGCCGCCGTTGCCACAGGGGAAGCGGTAGTCTGCCGAGGGGAGAGAAGAGGTGGATGGACACAAACGGAGGGAGGTAAGTACACGCCACAACGTCAGCGTGACTCAACCGTTTTTTTTATTGATGTTCTTGGAGAGCGACCAGATTTTCGTCCACGTCCCTTCCCTTCAACGGCTGTGGGTCAAGCAAGCACGTAGGCAGAGCCATTCTTTCTCGTTGGACGCATCTACGTCTTGCGGCCGACCCACGGGCCTGCAGTATCATCGTTGTGATCGTCAGGTCATGCAGAGTCACCACCCCCATGTACTAAATAAACACGAAGATAATGGTGCCATTGAGCCGGTCAAGCAGGGGTGAACATCCTGCTGGGTCCTGGAAACGCTCGATGTTCATCTACGTGACACATGTAACTAGGGGCCATATTTCATGGATTACAAGAACGGGGAACAGCGGTGTGCTCATGAACAAGTTTCATGCTCATCGCCGATGAAGACTTGGCGAGTCTGCGCATGGCACAGGTCGCACTTTCCGCAGCTGAAGCTCAACACCACCCGCCCCTACATATATCCACACAGCAAGTCAGTCGGAAGTCGCCTAGACAACAAAGCAGAACAAACCGATACATGGCACTGACACTCACGAACAAACACCTCACCCCTCACCAACGCGTAGGGCGTACAATAAACCATTTAGCTGGCGTGCAGCACCTCACCGGCACAAAACAAAGCACACACAACTACGGCGGCCACCCATTCTCCTTGCCCGCAATGAGAGCAAGCAAGCACGTGCAGCAGTGGCATGCATGACTACATATTCACAAACGAACCTGCTGAGGGACCGGTGTGTCCTGCACGTGCACCTGCGTGACCGCGGCCGCCACCGTCTCCTCGCCGACAGACTCTGGCTTCGACGATTCCTCAGCGGGGGGCAGAGCAGAGCGAGCGGTAGAGCCGTCTTCCTCGTCGCGGGCCTTGAGGGCGGCCTAACAACAGAAAAGAAAACGGATTGGTAAATATCACAACACAACAAAAATGCACGGGAGGGTCGATCTTCAATTTTCATCCCGACAAGGGCGGTGCTGTGTTGAGTTGACACAGAAGGACTCGTTGCAGCAGCTAATGAAACAGGGTTGTAACCGGGTGGGAAACGTCGACTGACACGTGTTTGAGGGAAAGAGGGAAACGGGAAACTCGATAGTGCAGACTGCTGTCAACCTCGAACACAAACACCCATCGTGTAATGTCGGTAAGTAAAAAAATCAAGCATCTGCGTATCGCCATCGCAGGAGCCGGCATGAATTCTAAAAGCGAATAACACCTGAACAGCATTCAAGAACTGCGATCGTGAACATACGCATTGTAAATACCTACGCCTGACACAGACGGCAACGTACATACTGTACCTGAACAACTTCCGGAAGGACGTCAAGAAACCGGAAGATGTCGTTGCGGACGAAGTAGTTGTGGCGGTCGTTGTCCTGGTGCTGTCTAGCCAGGAAAAACGTCTGGCAGAACTGCCGCGGGTCCGTGTTGGCGATGGTGATTGAGCCCGTCACCATCAGGAGCACTCCGCCTGGGCAATCATTCGTCCCGTTCATGTCGTTTCGGGCCAATAGAGAATTTCATCAATTTGTCAACGGCACGCGGCATGCTGCTACAACGCTGAGGAGACACCCCCCAAACTGCCCAAGAATCGAGTAGGAGAAAATCAGCAAAGCGGCAAGGGCAAGCACCAGTATCTTCTAGTTCTATGTCACCAGGGATCAAAATCTTGTCGTGACGTCATCAAACAAGACGTACGACAATGCCCCTTTGGCGCTGGGACCACTGTTATCAAGAACTCCGGGAGGTACTATCAACGTGCCGCCGAGCGACTCGAAGGCGGATGGACTGCTACTGGCAATTGCTGGTCGACAGACCAATGAAGCACACTCCCGTGAAAACTACCAGTCATGTAGATACCATACCTCCTTCTAGCCTGATTCCAAGCGCGTTGGTTCAATTCAGTTGTGTATCATCTCATGATCTCCTGGCCAAACTCACCGCCTTCGGAGGGCTGAGCATCGACGGACCCGCAGCCGAGATCAACCGTCGCGCCGCCAAGGCCGAGGTGCTTAATCTTAGCCTTGATATCCTCCAGGCCAGATACGGGCTCCTGGCCAACACCAACAACAAACAGCAGCGATGATTATGATGAGGTGCTGGGTTCTCCTCCTTAACAGATCGTACGATATGTGGCACACAACGAGATCTGCTCACCGGTGAGGAGGGAGGCCTGGGCATGGAATCTAATAGCGCAACAACCAAGGAATAATCATCCGCTTTGCTGGTTTTTTTTTACTCTGAATTAAGTTGAGGGATTTGCGCGACACGACGGCAGTGGTAGACAGAAAGACACGAGAAGGCTACCCACTCCATTCTGCATTTCACCTCACAGCAGTGGTGCAATACTGGCATTGCGTTGCCTCTCCCTTGTCGACACACCCACGCATATACCCACCACTGCCACAACCACCGCTAACTAACCTCTTCCTTGGTGCCAGACGCGTGGCAGAACGTGCTCTCGTCCTTGTAGAAGCGGTGCAACTCCACCGGCTTCTTGGACAAAACCTCGCCGTAGTACTGCAGCAGGCAACAGGCCACGAACACGACACACACAAAGCAATCAACATGACGCCAATGAGGACCATGACCATCAATATCGTGGATCGCATTGAGGAAGGTGGGGTAAACGAAGTACATCTACACTGCTGTACGACTCTCAACGGTGGTCAAGCTACACTATTGGTGGATGTTCAAAACAGCTCCCATGAAGTAGGATACACCGACCAAACCCAAGCCCAATACAACCGTCAGCACCTGCCAAAGTAAGGCAACGGTGGCCAGCAACGACCCGGGGCAGCCTTTGGCAATTTGTTTCGCTGCACGACAGAGGGCGGCGGAAGTCGAGTTGCTGCCTGAAAAACAAAAAAGATATATAAGCCTGCTCGCTCAGGGCATCTTCACCCAAACACTTCACTCATGACACCGCAAAAAAGGCAGGAAGGCATGACGAAGAGTGGCGGACTTCGCTGTCGCTGCAGACAACTTTAACTTTCACTACAGTAGTCTATTAACGACGGAAGATTGATTCGTTCGCGACGGAATCAATAAATTGGTATCCGAGGGTATGACGTTCACGCGAAAATAGAACTGGCAGTGTGTATGCATTGTGCAAGAATGGAATCACGCTCGCCACCACATGCAAACATACGCATACGATCTGAGCGCTTGGTGCGGCACCGCAGTATCATTGCGGTGGGAAAAACCGTGGTGGGGGGAGGGGACCAAGTGACCCACAAACTACAAAACGACAACAGCAGCGCTTCTGTTAAGCGACTCTCGAGAGCTCAGGGTGATCCTTGTCTAAGCACGGTTGACCCTTTTGGTCTGTCATACGGCACTTCCTGTTTATCGGATTGCGTTCGTCACAGCTCTCAAGATCGAGATGGGAAATAAGGGAATAATTCCGAGCAGAAGTACTGAACAAGTACTGAACACGCTCATGTCTCTGTACATCATAAATGGAGAGAAACAACAACGAACGGGAAGCTTGCCGGCTTGGGGCCATGATTGCCAACGACGTCGCACCATGTCCAGAACCCCGCTGCTGCGTCATGTGAAGGATGAAGAAAACCTTCCGTTTCACTTGTGACACTCCATTCACCCACCCCGTTCCAACTCGTGGCTTGCTTCCCACCAAAGCTTTCGATTCTGTAACACCTATGCCTACCCGCATGCAAGCCTTCACGCGACAAACTGCGACGGGCCGCACCACCTTTTTACCTGTTTGACAAAGTGGCTCCCAACCACGGCCGGCGCCGGCGCCCCCCTCTTGGTGGACATCGCTCCTCACACTAACGCTAACGCTAACGCTAAAACTACAGTTCCTCCCAAAGGCGACTGGACACAAGTTAGCTTTACCCGTGAGGGCCTGAAAGAAAGTGACGGGGGCGGGGCGCGGGGGGGGGGCGGGGAGGTGCACGGTGCAGAGGTCCAAGGGGATGGTAAGCAAGCGCCTACGGCAACCCAGGCGAGGAGTGTTGTCACACACGCAACACATCCCATACATGCGTTCTTCCCGTTCCTCGTTTAAGTTGACCACTCGAGGGCAGCCCTGCTCACGTCTCGGCGAAGAAGGGGTGGTACGTATTATGTATTACGTTTTACTGTACCCCCTTCCACCCCGAAGTCAACCAAATCACCGTACCAGCCCGACATCGTTCGCACCCATGCCCTCAACACCTCTTCGCGAAATCGAGGGCGTGCTGAAGCTTGAGTGGACCCCGTACTGTAACGATGAACGAAGGAGACCCTTGTAAGGAAGGCGGAGAGTAAGGGACTGCAGCAACAATAGCGCGGTGTCACTTCGAGTCCCAGAAGTACGGAGTGCTTCGAACTATCCGCCATAGCGTGGGAAGCGGTGTAATCATGGTTAATTTGCCGGGAGTAGGTCCCTCTCTCGGTAGGACGGTGCACAGATAGCGCATGCGGGTGGGTGTCTTCACATGCAGGATGGAGGGATCGGATCGGATCCACAAGCTAAGTTAACGAATGCTAACGGGCATTGCTCTGTGAAAAACAGCGGGAGGAAAATGCCAACATGCTACTATCATACTACAGCTGCAGAAGCAATTGCTGACTGCTGTTGACCGTTGTAGGGTTAACAGTCGTCTATCAAGCGAGGAGCCAGCGTGATGAGGTACATAAAGTAAAGGTAAACAAGGTTTGAGAACCTTTCAGGGCTGGAAAAAAAAAAACATAGGCCACAGTCAACAATCCAACACAAATGTACTTCGTCTCTTGTTCCTGTGAGTTACTGTATCGCTGTGGGTTAATCCGAGCGTTACACCTCAAATCCGTCCATTGCGACGAGGAAATAACACCGCATGTACGCACATCGCCCGCCAGCAGCATTTGTACCAAAAACAAAAAACATGATGTGTTGCGAAGGTCACGGCAGAGGGGGGGTGTGTGGCAAGTGTAGGGTTTCCGGATAATAAATAGCGAAAGAGAGGGTGCTAGCAGCGGGGGATTCTTCGTGCGCGTTGGCATATGCAGAGACGTCTTGTGCGATTGTAACACACCACGAACAGCCCGAATGCAGCGGGTCCTGCGCCGTTCGCCAACTACAAATGCATCACGATGACAATCCGCCGTTCGAAAAAAGCATGCTCACACCATAACAGCAACAACCGTCTTCCCCCCTGCATACCGCCGTTTTGTTCGTGTGCGAAAGGTAGCTGTCAAGCTCTGAGACTGGCACCTGTTCTGCTTGCGCACGAGTTGGTTTCGCTACATCGAGCACCCGCCTGAAAATTGAGAATGATTCATTCGGTGAGTTCACAGGGTTGTGCACTTCTTTTCCAAGCCGTGAGTGTGCGATCTCGTCCGCCATTGGTAACATCGGTCTCACTACACGAAAAACAGCCCTTTCTTTCTCCCACCCTCGGGGTTTGGGCAGCCGCTAGCATGCGTACAAGAACTGAGGTGGGTTTTGCCCCTGGAGAAGCAAGCGAGGAGGAGCGCATGCACGTCCAGATGGTTCAGCCAGCAGGGCAGTAGGTGTACTGCGGGGAAGGAAGGGACAAAAAACTGGACACCAAGCCAGAGAGAAAAAGGCCTCAGGTGCCTCTCGGATCCCGAAGGTTTTGCAAGAGTACACATGACAACCACGAGTTGGAGAACAAATACAAGAAGCTTACCGCTCGGCATCACGGGCCATAGACATGAACATTGCAGAATGCATGTAGAACGTAGAGGGCGCAACTGCCGCCTCTGGAGATAGGTAAGAGGTTCGGTGTGGCTGATGATCGATCACTTGGTCATCGCAACAACTTTCGTCGCCGACAGCAGAGAACAAAGCAAAACATCCCACAGGTGTGTCGACTCTTCTCGTTTTCGCTTCGCCACCGATACTTATGACTCCATAGCCACCCTCAATCCCCCCACTATGCGCCCTATGTGCCCGTGGCTATGTACTCCGTTCCCTTCATCGTTCGAGCGCGTCCTTCTCTCCGTCCTCTCTCTCACCGCCTAAACACCGCCCATCGAATCCAGACTGTGTGTTGGCCCTACACACACCCACAGAGATTTACCGGCGAACCAAAATACACCATCCGCGGCTTTGTTTTCGTGGAGCTGGAAAACGGGACTCACCTCTGTTCATGCTCCCAACAGGGGGGCAATTGTGAGAGCTGATCCTTGACGGTAGGCTCGCGCACCCAACACACCTCTTTCGTTCGAGACGCTCCAAGCTCGTTCCTGAGGGATGAATGCCTCTTCGGGGATCAGATCTGATTTGTCCCCCGGGAGGGGACAATTTTTCATGTCCCCGGGGGACAATAAAAGGAACACTTCCCGGGGTTTCCATCTCGCTCCTTCCTGCTGCACTCCCTCGTGTGTTGTTGGTAGCAAAACAGCGGAGATATTCCTCGTTCAGGTAAATTGTCAGACGTGATGTGTTGATAAAGGGAGTGTTGTGATATCTGCTTGGTAATGGCCACAATTTTGGTAAGGGTAGGAGTGTAGGGGTGTCGGGCTGCTGTAGGGCCTGAGAAAGAAGGTTCCGGCGGAATATCTTCTATCGGTTCGCTCATCATTCCGATTGCAGCCGGGGCAAATTCGCAAATTCGAAGTGGCCAGTGCATGTTTACCAGTACGCGGTTGAAGACCGCCCTCCACCGTGCAGGAAGCAGAGAAATCGAGGTTTGCATGGAGAAGGTAGAACGTGAACTGCCGTTGGAGTCAACAGAGAGAGAAAGGCGACTGCTCTATAACGCCTACGATTCGTGATTTCGTGGATTGTGGCCGACAGCTGCTGAGAGAGCAACACAGGTTGAGGGTGGAGGGACTCATGGAGGACAAAGGCACGAACTCCGCGAGGTCGGGGCGTAAACGCACTCAAGTCGGCAGTACAAACAGGTCGTCTGCATCGTCACCGACAGTCGTAGAAAGAGCAAATGCATCTACTGGAAGTCAACGTCGGTCAAGCGGTGCTAGGGCGCGCCCCATGTCGGCTGCAGATGAGTTCAGCCGAAGGGACCTGGTGAGCATGTTGTCCAAAGGAGATGGAGAGCTCAAAGTAACATCGAGGAAGGCACACCATCAGCATCTACTGCTGCACACCCGAGAGCTATTCGATTCAACAGTTGTTTTGCATACCACGAACTGGTTGTGTGAAGAGGGAGGCTACGGCAGTTGAGTAAACTAGACAAATACAAAATGCTGTTCACGTACAGCAGTAGTAGCGCGTTTCCTGCTCTGACCGCGGCTGGCGCCGTCACATGTGGCATGCACACCAAACGATAATGGCCTGACGTCCAGAACCCACACTTTTATCAATGAAATACAGACCAGCGTTTGTTGTTTTTTTCGCACTGGGAGTCTTCACTTTGATGTTTTTCGGAATAGAAATCAGGAAGGAGTCAATGATAAGTCTACAAGGCATGTACCATACAACATGTTTTCAGTGGAGAACCGGACATGAAGTGGCTGTGACAATTTTGCGCGTCTTGTTGACCGACCTTTGGTGGCGTTTGCTGGCCAGCTGCTCGCCTTCTTAGTGGGTCTGGGCAAGTCGATGTCGTGCCCTTCCCGTATTGCTGCTTCCCTATTGTTTACTCGGCGGCGGGCTGTCTTCCCCTGCCTATGTAGATTACGGATTCACCCTCCTTCTAGGCAAGTCGTTCGGCGAAAGAGGGGTCCACTCCACCACCAGCGGTCTGAGTCTTCGTGCATTTGGTTGTGAGTTTCGGGCCAGCGCACGGTGTATTGCCCAGAAACTTTGCACAGATGTTTGGAACACAAGATCGGGAATGGCTCACGCTGGTTTGGCGGAGGAAATCGGACACGAGTACCTTACGATACTCCACCGTGTGTGACCAGGTCAATGGCAAGGCTCGCGAGACCCTATGGACTTCCAGGTCTATGCCTTCGCTAGGTGCACAACTTCCTCACAACCTCAGTAGCCGGCGAAAAATTGAAGAAGAAAAAAAATCGATGGCGGCGGCGGTGGATGAAACACAGATGGAGTCCTCAGGAGTGAGCGACTCGTACATTACCTCAACACAGATGGCTTACACATCAGGTGAGACGTGATATTTTCTGCACAGCATCGATCAGCAGCGGTACGGGAATTTTTTTTTCTACATCACCTGTCTACTAGTAGAACACACCACATACACAGACTTCGCCAGTTCCGGAGGTGGTTACCTTTGATCATGCCCAGAGCAGCCCGCCTCCAAACATAATTGTTTCTTAGGCGGCGCACTCATGGCCAAAGGTGCAGATATCAACGCCAGAGTGTAACTTTTATGCGACAGGTCTTCTCGCGCCCCCGAGCAAGGTGCCTGTTATGGACCCGTATCGGCACCGTCAACTATTGCACGACAGATGGGTTCAACGTGCAAGCCAGAGACTCGGTGACATTGCCACCCTCAAGTACGGCAGCGTCAAGGAGTTTTTTCGGGTAGGCGCTGTCTTTGTTGGTATTTACTTTCCTAGCATGTTGCACCTCATGCCAACACTCCTCGATCCAACTTTACTCGACCCGGTACGCCACCCATCGTGTACAGCGTTAAGTTGGCAATATCACGTACGCACAAGTACACTACTAGGTGGAGGTGGACCCCTCATATACAGCTCGACATCGTGTCACACAGAGCTTGCTTCGACCTTGGACTTGTGGGAAGTCGCCAGCATGTACCAGTGAGATCCTGCGTGGCTTCGCGTCATGCCCAACAAGAAAACTAGATCTTCGATCCAGCACAATGCATCCATGGTATGAAAACAAGGGTTTGTAACAGTTGTTGGTGTTGTCATATAGGCAAGTTGCGTTCACTCGGCCGAAGGGGATATTTCGTTGAACGATCGCGCCCTCCCCGTTTCTCCTCTACCGTCGTTGGCAACGTTCATCAGATGTACGACTCCAACTGCGACGGTGTGCTCGACTTCGACGAGTTCAGCGAAGGTATCACCATGTGCCAGCTCGATCACGTTTTCCCTCGATCTCTTCAAAGGACACTCTTCGACAAAATTGATTCCGACAAGGTACCTCTGAAGCGTGCAACCGCAGCGTTTATGTCGGAATAGAACCTTTTAGGTGCAGCAAGGGTGCAGGATCAACGACTACTGCTGAGGATGCGATATGTAGCCACTGGTCCAAGATTACGTAACATCGTTCAAACGCGAGACACTAAGACTGAACCTGAAGTTTGAACAAGATAAAATGTCGGAAAAAAACAAGCCATACCAGGTAGACAACAAAGGCGTAAAGTGTTTTTAATTTCCATCCAGGAAACCTATGCCTCGTCGCTAGCGACTCCATTATGCCCTCTACACTTGTCATTGCCTGCTTTGTTTGTACGCGGCGTTTCCTGCCGCAGAGTGGCGGCATCGAGCTCGACGAGTTCGCCGACTTCTTGGGTCAGTCGGAGACCAAGGTGAACCATGTCGGCCAGTGCGTAGACGCTAAACGTATTACAAGAAATAATTCCAGCTTGGCAGCGGGGGGATCAGGCGCCGTTGTTGTTTGTTGCTGACATCACGATCCAGTGCTTTAGGCTCGCTGGACGTGCGAACTCGAATCGAACAACGTTATGCTCATAATCGTAGAGAGTCTCGGGCCCTCCCGGAACGAGGTTGCTTTCCGCTGATTCTCGTGTTCGGTCAAGTAGTTAACGACACTAACGTAATGGCATTAGAAGCAACCGCAAGGGTTGGAGAAAAGGCTTGCAGTCGGTTTTTCCCTGTCTTCTTCATGTATACGGAACAATTAGAAAACGATGGTTCCAAGGAAAGGGTGGCTGTAGAGCCGTTGGAACCATGCTTTGCAGGCTCCCAGCACACTTAGTTTTGATGATATGTACAACAGCTTAGTCGAGCAGTAGGTGACTGACTTTGCGAGGAAACGCTGTTGCTGGGAACTCTGCTCACTCATTTGGACGAAATGGCTCAAACGTCAAGGGAGCATCATCGGGGGACCCGAGCGCATTGCAGAAGGAGAAAACGCAGCAGCAGGCAGACGATGTGGAGGCTCGGTCGGTGACGCTGCAGCCTATTCAGGACCACAAGGCCCAGCGCATCAAGAACAAACTCGCACATTGCGTTCAGCAGGCGGTAAGAGGTCAATAAATGGACACGTTGTGTGCACTACTGCACGGAGCTCCCATAGGTCAGCACATAGGCGTTTCGTGCATTGTGAGCAGCATGAGTGTGGAAGGGATACTTAATCCTTGCGGTGCCACCCTTAATGTTCTACCAATGGGAACGCGGGGACCGACAGTCTGTTCCGAGATGTTGACGGCAATAACAAGGACGAGACGGGGTCGCGGGCAACCGTGCTCACGTGACGTCGGACTCTGTATAGTGAATGTTCTTAAGCATGTGCAAGGAGGATCCGCTTTGAGCATGGCCCACAACGAAACCTCACACTGTAGTTTTGGGGACACGTTACCTCCTGGTACTCGGTGGTCAGGCCTTGCGCGATCTTAGGGTCTACTTCTCCTTTTTGTCTAACATAAATCACGGGCTGACAAAGGAGGGAGCAGCGTTGCGGTTGTGTATTTTCTGTGCTTATGCCCGTGCGCCTGCCGCTTTTATCTTTTCTTGTCCCCTTTTTAAACCCCAGTGCTTCCTACAAACGTGTGTCGCATTCTAAGGAACAGGCGATGTGACCGAAGGTCTTGTTTTCCGTTTCAAGCCAATAATTGGATAGATCTTCCCCCTGCTCGAACCGAGTAAGGTACCCTGATCGCCTGAACGCCCACCCTTCGTCATCTCCCTTTGTAAGGTCCCCAACGCTAGCACTGGACTGGCCGACAACAGAACCATGTTCCTCAAGAAGCAGTTCGCGTTCTTGAGTGAAGACGCTGCTAGCCGAGGGATAAGCCTTGAGAATCTCGTTCAAGCGCTGGGGCCGCGAGGGATGAACCTTGGGGTGAGATTTGTAACGTGTACGGGGGGAGGCTGCGTTCAATGGGTTTAGCCTGTTGTGCTACCATAATATTCCTACACGATCAAAGAGCACAACGGTACTTTGGAAACCTTTTTTTGAAGTACCCCGAATCATCGTGAATACGTTCCATCGGCAACCATTTTCTAATTTCATTGGTTTTGTCGCTTGTACCCACCCGATCTCTCGTCTCTTTGTGTAGAAACACACCTCTCGGTTTGCGCCCCTTGTGGGCTTTTCTTGGATGTGTTTCTTCCTTGCATTTGCTTTCCCCGTCGTGAGGGGATCTTAGCCCATCGGATCAACTAACATCGAACGATTGTGTTGCTCTCTAAAAAGGTGAATGACGAGGACTTGCGGTTGCTGGTAAAAGAAATGGACACCAACTGCGACGGAAACATCACTGTCAAGGAGTTTGCGGCCTTCCTCAACCTTGACGACCATGACCCTCTGTACCAGCCGCTCTTCGACGGTCGCCGAAGAAATGTCAACATCCTTCAGGCAAGTAACGCCGTAGCATCGACATTTGCAACTACACGCAGCGGTTCTGTCCAAACTCTGCTCGTCGGGAGTTGCAGCATCAGGCTCATACAAACAGAGAGTAATGACGGTAGAATTCACGACCCAGCACTACGCTGTATTCCTCAACACCCCGAACAGCCGTCTTGTCCTTCTTTCTCGCATTATCTCCTTGCGATCTAAGTCAACACGCTGCCTTCAATACTGACTACGCTCGTGCTGAAGGTAAACTGTAGAAATTGGCTCGGGTGGCAATAGCACTTCGACCACATCCGACTACGATCAGCACCCGTTCGGTAGATGAGGCAAGCTGCGAGTTCAATGCTGCTGCCGTGTTACTTCTAGCCTCCTTTGTCCCTCCACCTTCTTCCGGTGCAACCAAACTACTTGAAGCAACTCCTTTGAGGGGAAACATGACCAAAGAACGGACGAACTGCCCCAAACTTCTTTGGTTTGCCTCTTTCGTTCTGGCTCAAAACGAATCAGGCAATGGTAGAGCAGGCACCTCCTGTGGAAAGCCCTGAAGAGGAATTTTTCAAAGCAAGAGCGGACCACCTGCACTCGGTCGCGGTGCCTTCAAAAGAGTAAGTTGTTTTCGAGAAACGCTCTATGAGGGCAGGGCGTGTGCTTTTGAGGGCCATCGGGGCTCTAATCACGTGCTTTTTCAACGCAACTCAGACATGTTTCGACCCGTGGGGCGGTGTGCGTGTCGAATGGTAAAGTGAACGCGGAGGCGAAGATGAAACAAAACGTGTACCCATCATGTTGAAGAACCCGCGTCGCGCCCAGCGTTAAATGTTGCGCCTACTGTGCTATACAGCGCATCGGGAGGCGGGTGTGTGTTCGAATGTGATGCACCCGTGGCACAATAGATGGCCAACGCACTCCTGCTGTATGTGCGCTTGATATTTTGTCTGCCAAGCATCCGTAAAGCCCCCTGCCACTTTGGTCGAGGCTGCGTTGTGTTTTAAATGTTCAAATTTTGTTAGCGTGCTTCATCGTGTCGTTGAGGTGTACTAGAGCTGGGGGCGCCGCAAAATTCAATGGCTTGAACATACAAGAACCATTTGTACACCGCCAGCACTTGGATTGCCACATCTGTTGTGATCACTCCTTCACTGCCACTTGTCGTGCTTGCTGCATCTCAACAAATATTGCCAAGTTTGGACAAGGCGGTGCGAATGGAGCGAGAGAGGATTGCCGACGAGGTTAAGGCCAAGCATAGCCGCGGCCGGTTCGCCCGCCCCATGTCGCCTGCGTGGACGGTCGGTGGCGATGCGGTCACCGTTTCGACTCCATCGGGCAGGACAGTAAGCAAGTTTTGTTGTACCCTCAGCAGGCAGGGAAAAACTAAACAGCCTCGTTTGGTTCCTCGAAATTATTGTCACACCTACCTTCCTGTCCTTCCGAACACTCTCCGCCCGTTTTCGAGTTTCAACAGATGTTCGTACCACTTACTCTACGCAACATTTCCGAGTTATACCCGTCCTGTCCACCGGCCAAAGTGGTTTTCTTTCCACTATCTGATCAGTGCCACCGCGAATTGTACTCTTCGGTGCCGGAAAAAGGTGGAAGATATCTGGGACCTACCCCCACCCACCCGCCACTTGTCTAGCGTGAAACGGTCTTTGACTTCGTCCATGCGGCACCTGCCTCGCACGTCGGCCATGAGAAGAGGCAAGGACGGCGCCAGCACTTCTTTCGGCAGTGAAGGAGGTAAGCTCAGTAAGCTAAGGGCGTCATTACTTCCCTTCCTGCACATGGCTACTTGGAGGAATTAAAGAGAAGAGGTTTAATTGTTTTTCATACGCTCCCAAGACTTTTCCATTGTTTCTCCGCCAATAGGGATCAACCACCGAGGAGCAGATGTTGTAGATTACACCCAATATAGTTGCTTGATCGATTCGTCGGGGAAGAAGCACATGTGGATACTTGTCCACGATGCTTCCTGGTTTACTGCCAAAGGTAGGACTACTTGTGTTTTCTCTAGGAATGAAGGTAAAGAAGAAACCTTGCTAACACTTGGACTACCGTAACTGTTGGTTGTTGCCAACATAAGACATTTCTGTTCATGAACCGCTCCTACTTATTGTGAATGATCCACGATACAGCACACGTGTGGTGGGCTTCGACATTCCTCTCCGCAATCGGCTACCACGAGGATTTACAGACCATAAACCGCTCTACAAATCCGTGCGTTCGTTTGTTGGTCTCCTCCATCGGTGGTGTGTTGCAGGCCCCTTCGCCGAGGCGCCACTACAAGAACAAGGAGAAGGATCCTTGTCTCCCAAAACCTCCTTGGCTAGCTTGTCGTCTTGCCACGACCTCTTCTCTTCGTTGGAAGAAGGCCGGCTACAGGTAACAAGCAACCCAAACCCATGGTATGCCTTTCTTCCATACGGGTTATACAGTTTTTTTTTCACATCTTCGAGGTTTCGGTGTTTGTCATCTACCGTACGTATGTATTGCACTTGCACTTTTAACCTATTTAAGGCCTCAGATCGAGACATTCTGTTGTGTAACCCTTGGGTTAGCGTTCCAACTAGCATCTTGATGGCGGATACGCTTGATGCAGAGGTCACGGTTTTAGGTCTGAGTCCTAATGGCTCAGGAACTGCGTATCTACTGACCATGGATGGGTTACTCGAGCCCGGTATTCTCTCTAGCGCATCAGCGATTCGAGTTCACCACAAACGGTGCATATCAACCAGAAGCCGACAAAGGGGTTCGTTATCGTCGAACCCTTTGATGTCGGAGAAGTCCCTTTGTGGTCTAAATTTGACTACAGATGGAGTGTTCTCGAATTTTGAGGGCGAAAGGAGAAAAGGGTATGTTAGCGCGTAGAACGGCGATTTTCTCTTAAACGAGAAACCATGGCCCTCAGTACTTAGTCCGACCAACGTGCAAACCGTCTACCATTGTTTCCCTTCGTCCGCATCACCCATTCAACGGGTTCAACCTTGTCCCGATCGAACCGAGCCTACAGGACGCTACAGCAGGCGCGTTGGCAAGGGCCCGCAAGGTGGCCAAGCAAACTTGGGCAGACATCGGACACGGAGGGATTGGCAATGATGCTGGAACGGACGAGTCTTCTTCCTTCTACGCCTGCCCAGTAAGTACTTCTTCGTCTCACTGCCACTAAGAGCACTAGTTGCGGGGGAATTTGCAAGAAGGGGGAGGTGAAACAGCACCATGCAGAGGTGAGGTACGCGGCCTGCTGCGACTCTTCTAGAACCTACAACATATGCCGCTAAAGATGTTGCACTAGATGTTGCACGCTGAACGAGTCAGGGCACGCAGTGCCAGGATGCGATCACTACTGCTATGTCTTAGATCACGATGTTGCCTGTTTGTTGGTTGTGTTGTTGTCTCACGTGTTCTGGACGTCAAACTACACCATTCGGTACAATGCGGACCCACCTTCTGGGGTCACACGTGAGCAAGGCCACACAGCGGAATTATTGCCTATGCACCTCGATTCAGGACATAGTGTGGTGCTTGGTCTACCCCCGCCCCCGGGTTGCGTTAAGACTGTACTGGGTATCGTTGCTGTGGTCTTACCCGCCCATGGCCTTCGTTTCGCCTGACTCTCTCTCTCTCTCTCTCTCTCTCTCTCTCTCTCTCTCTCTCTCTCTCTCTCTCTCTCTCTCTCTCTCTCTCTCTCTCTCCCTCGCTCGCTCTTGCTGTCTCTTTCTCTTTCTCTTTCTCCATGCCACCCCCACCCCGCCTGAATTTTAGAGTGAGAGGTTCACAACGACAAACTCCGAGCGGTATGCCCCCCTTATCAAAATGAAGAAAATCGAGAAAGGACAGCGATCGGCAGGCTTTTGCCGCCAAAGGCTTGGCGATTCGGCCACCGAAGCATCGCGCAGGATGCAAAAGAGCGAGGTGAGGACATCAATCGGTGACAGCCAGGCCATGGAGGTATCGGATATAGCAACGATACGTTTACGTAGATATCCGGAGGGGAGCGTGTATTCGTTGTTTGAACGGCATGTTTTTTTTGTGCTTCTGGCCCGCACCATTCACATTCACCGCACAACGAAAAGCACTAGTGATCTTGCATGGCCGACATTCATGACTCTTTTTTTCTGTGAAGCCGAGGCAAGGAGGTGTGAGGGGGGATATGTCGGGCTGGCAGCTTGGCCCATATCAACTCCCCCGCCTTTGAACTGCGGCAGATTTTCAAAAGATGACCTGCAACCAGCTGCGCTATTTAGAGCGCGGACCTGTTTGGGGACGGTGTGCTAATGTGACCCCTCTTTTCGTTGTCTCCAGGACCGATCAATCAAGCTTAAAGAGCACATGGAACGAATATCCCTGAGCGTCAAGACCGAGGAAGTCGCCGCAAGGCTCAAGGAAGAGAGGTGAGGGGGGCTGAGTACTCAACTGTCCGGAACCTCACAGCCTCAGGCAGAAAAGTTTGGTGCCACACAACGAAAATTTTGAGGGAAACCCGGAGTGCTGATGAGGGTCGTTGCGAAATCTTCGAAGAGCTATAATAAGGTGTTTGCTGCTGTGCCCACATTTACAGGCAGTCTCGCAAAGTGAGAAGCACCATACCGTGTCGTTCTCTTCAGCATGAACGCTGATTTCGCTGCCATTGACCTATTTTTTTATTAGCTCGTACCGTGTAAGGTTGTCGATTTTGCTTTCTTGAAAGAGTCAGACAACGCCACGGTATCTGTCGCACTCGAGGTCCTAGTCGGACCTATGCGACAACACTGGCTAGATCTATTCCTGAAGTTTACGTACACCAACGTACCCTATCAACCACAGCTGTGAGAACGGATGAAACCGGGGTCTACTACTGTTGAATAGCTGTCAGCGCTTTTCTGATGTGTTTCAGACGGGATATACATAATTGTTCTACGAAGACATGGGGCACAACGAAAGAAAGTGAGAGCTATGGAATAACCCGTGTTTTTATTTGCAGAGGCCCATCCACCGCCGCCCGCCTACTTTTCTTAACTCCTACTAACCCTTTCATACCAAAGTCTTGGGCGTACCGTCCGTGTCCCATCGTTTCGCATCTAGGCGCGTACGTGGTAAGGCTCGAACACGACTGAGGTACAGCCGGTGGGTCAACAGCATGGACAATTGGCTCGGCGACGAGGTGCCCAAGCTGGCCGACTACGACAAGCGACAATTTCCGGTTCAAAGCTCCAGGCAGGCACAATCTATGTTTTTGTGTATGTTCGGCCTCGGGTGGGACTTTTTTTGTTTCTTCTGTTCTTCTTTGTGGGGGAACTGTTCATCACCGTCACAGAAGGACTACTGTACTCAAGACGAATTCAAGGCCATGTCGATGTGATAAAGATGTTACATGCAGTGAAGGGTCTTTAAGCCCTTACCCTGTCAGTCTGCCAGAGTGCCTGCAACCACCATGCCTAAGACATGATCGCTGGTTCGTCTGTCCAAGGGTACACGAAAAGAAATTCCTGGGTCTGTTGTGGGTTTATCGCACATTTTGTAGGAACGATCGACAAGTTTCCGTCACACCCGTCTCTCTCGTTTGTCTCGGCATTTCACCTCTGGACTGGAATCGACTCCAAGGGAACAGTCAACGCCAACATTTAACGTCATGCCGAACAGAAAGGGATCTACAGTAGTCTACATTATGAATTGTATCGGGCACAGATGAGCGGCATAATGCCCGTGACAGGCCGTTGGCATGATACCCCTGACACCGCTTGTGATCTTTATGGAATCCGTGATCATTTTAGTGCGCTCATCCCGACGTTGCCTGCATTTTGACGATTCTGGGTGATGTGCTCAACACATCAACCCCACTTCTGTCAGCATCTCAATGCTCCAAGGGCTACCTCGCTCGAGCAGTTCAGTTTGGAGAGGTTAAAAGACGAACATTTGACTTGTCATGTCCCACCATTGTTGTGGAGGGTGTGTCCTTCCCGGTGCACTTGTAGCGATCTGGGTATCCCCTTTCTGGAGTGCCGGGTGTATCAAGGAGCTCATTTCGATTTTTGTGAACGAGCGGATGACGTAATCCCTCCGTTTTATATCCTATTGCAGCATTCCAGTTAACCCTGCCCCCGTCCTTCCCCCCTACCACCCGGTTTCTTTTGCTTGCCAGGATACGAGGGGGGCAGCAGATGCACGAAGCTCTCGGTGGCCCCATGGCGATTCTGTAGCGATCTGGAGAGGGCTCTTATCGCTCAGAGACCTTTTTTTTTGTCTGGGATCAACCAATGCTACTACTACGAACGGTGTACTATGATTGGTGGACTGGTGATGCATGTGATTGCTTGTCGTGAAGATAGCGGAGTGAAGGGAAGTGGGGTTCGTCATCGAATCGATTCCAATTTCCTGGTGTGTAAGAAATTTTGATAATACGAATAATACAGATAATTGAATCCCACTGGTTGAAAATAAATCGCGTTTTTAATTTCCTTACAAAGTATCTACTCCAGTATACGTTTGTCCTGGATATCCTAGAGTGTTTTTCCAGGATCGGGTTGACCTGAACTGAATCCGGGTGTGCCGGAGCACTAAGAAAGTCCGCACCGTTGCCCCTGAAATTACACCCGAACCAAGGTGCGGCCTTGGAATTTTGCTATGTACATGTAGATATGCATTTTCAATGTGTTTTGTGGTTCGGCGCGTCTTTCTTTGGCGGAATGGAATCTTTGCTCACGCTTCCTTCCGAGGGGCAATCGTTGGAACGTTGCGGCGCATGCCCGAGGGCCGCTTGGCATCCGTGGCACGTACGCTCGACGCCTAAAGTCGCCGCGAATTGGCTAAATTTCGCAGGGAGGCATTCCAAGCGTTCGCAGGAAATGCGAAGCACCCGCGCATAAACAGGAACCTTTTTGAGCAATACGGTAACATGAGAGAGAGAGAGAGAGAGAGAGAGAGAGAGAGAGAGAGAGAGAGAGAGAGAGAAAGCTCGCGAGCGAGAGCGAGAGTACCAGGAGCTGGATTCAGCAGTAGAGGTGTGCAGCAAAGAAGCCGCTAGCCTACACGCACACACACGAAGACAAACGTCGATAAATCATAAAACGTTTCCACGCATATGCGATACGTTGTGCAGAAACTAGCACCACCGAATGCTGCGAGCTGAGGTACATCGTACCGTGATGTCATTGACCACGTCCGCTTGAGTTGCCTCCGGAAGGCAAGTCACCAACCCCCCGAAAAGGAGCCTAGTAACGATGCTCGACGTCAAAGGTGCTCCTACGCCAACGATGTTCGACAGCAACGGTCCTCGGCGTAAACGATGCTCGATGTCAGCGATGCTCGGGGTCAGCGATGTTCGACGTCAACGATTTTCGACGTCACCTGTGCTCGTGCTCGACGTCAAAGATTCTCGACATCAATGACGCTCCACGTCAACGATGGTCGACAGCAACGATGCTCGACGTCAAAGATGGTCGACTTCAACGATCCTCGACGTCAACGATCCTCGACAGCAACGGTGCTCGAAAGCAACGGTGCTCGAAAGCAACGATGCTCGAAAGCAACGATTCTCCACGTCAACGATGCTCGATCGACATGAATGATGCTCCCCGTCATCGACGCTCGACATCAGCGATGCTCGACAGCAACGAAACTTGGCATGAAAGGCAACAATGCTCGTCTTGACGGATGGTTGACGTCAAGATGGTGCACTTCAACGTTGCTCAACGTCAACGATCCTCGACTAGAACGATGCTCGGCGTCAACGATCCTGGACTTCAATGATGCTCGAAGTCAACGATCCTCGACACAACGATGCTCGACAATATCGACGTCAACGATGATCGACTTCAACGATCCTCGACGTCAACGATGCTCGATGTCAACGATGCCCAACGTCAGCGATTCTCGAAGCCAACGATCCTCCACGCCTGCGATGTTCGACAGCAACGATTCTCCACGTCAACGATGCTCGACTTCAACGATACCCGACGTCAACGTGCCCGATGTCAACGATGCTGGACGGCAACGATGTTCGACGCCAACTATCCTCTACGTCAACGATGCTCAAAATCAACGATCCTCGGCAGCAACGATCCTCCATGTCAACAACCTTATACGTCAAAGATACGTGACATCAAAGTCAACGATGCTCGACCTGAAGGATGCTTGACGTCAACGAAGGTGCACGTCAACGATGCTCGAGGCCAACTATCCTCGACGTCGATGATGCTCGACGTCAGCGATGCTGCACGTCAACGATGCTCGAAGTCAGCGATACTGGACATCAACGATGCTAGACGTCAACGATTCTCGACATCAACGATGATCGAGGTCAACGATGCTCCACGTCAACGATGGTCGACTTCAACGATCCTCCACCCTAACATGCTCGACAGCAACGATGCTCGACGTCAACGATCCTCGACAGCGACGATGCTCGACGTCAACAATACTTGACATCAACGATGCTCGACGCCAACGATACTCCACGTCAACGATGCTCAAAGTCAACGATGCTCGACTACAAGGAGTCTCCACGTCAGCGATCCTCCATATCAAAGATACGTGACATTTACGTCAACGATGCTTGACATGAAGGATGCTTGACGTCAAGGACGGTGCACGTCAACGATGCTCGACGTCAACGATGCTCAACGTCAACGATGCTCGAAGTCAGCGATGCTGGACATCAGCGATCCTCGACATCAACGATCCTCCACGTCAACAATGCTAGACGTCAACGATCCTCGACGTCGACGATGCTGGGCGTCAACGATGCTCGACATCAATGATGCTCGACATGAACGATGCCCGTCATCAACGAAACTCGACGTCAACGATCCTCCATCCACGTCTAAGATGCTCGACAGCAATGATCCACGACGACAACGATACTTGAAGTCTACGATGATGCTCGACGTCAACGATGCTCGAAGTTAGCGATCCTCGACAGCAACGATGTTCGACAGCAACGATCTTCGACGTCAACGATCGTCAACGATCCTCGACGTCAACGATCCTCGACGTCAACGATGCTCGCAGTCAACGATCCTTGAAGTCAACGATGCTCGACAGCAGCGATCCTCGACGATGCTCGACGTCAACAATGCTCGACGTCAACGATCCTCCACGTCAAAGATGTTTGATCAAACTCAGCGATGCTTGACTCAATGCTTGACGTCAACAATGGTGCACGTCAGCGATGCTCGACGTCAACGATACTCGACGTCAATGATGCTCAATCGACGTCAACGATGCTCGACGTCAACAATGCTGCGTGTATGCCGTTACATTGCTTCAAACATTGCCGAACACTTACTACTTGTAAGGCACGTTCTTTTCGAAGGGGGGGTGAACATGAACAAGAGGACACAGATTCTAGCAACCGGGCTGGCGCATCAGGCCACACACGCGAAGAAAGGCGTGTATCATACGACACCCTCATGCGCCCCCTATGTATGTGTACCGTTTAGATGGTTTTGGTGCTGCGTTCTTGTCCATACTGGTACATATGAGGTCGCTCTGTTCCCGCTGCCATCTATGTATGCCATACCTGATACTGCCTAGGTGGTGAGTGTGAACCTCGCGGTTTTCCGCTCTTCGTAAATACGTTACACATCTAGATACAGTAGTCAAAATATGTTCTACAACACTTCACGCGTAGTATGTGGCAAAAGAAGTCGACATCTCTGCCCTCCTCCCGCCCTGAATCATTGCGTCGCATGTGTCCCGCGGTATCCCTGTCATTGCGGAAGGCTGTTGTTCTAGACTATTGTTACAATCCGAAAGACT